CTGCTTCTTTCTTTCCTGGGACCATTGGTGGGATTATTGCTGCTGCTGACTTTTGGGCCTTGGGCATTCCAGAGACTAACTCAATTGATCAAAACTCAAATTAATTCCATACTCAAAAAACCTATTTCTGTACACTACCATCAGCTTTTGAAAAAAGGAACAGGGCTCCTCTGAGGAACCTGTTGAGGATGGTGACAATGCCAATTCTGATCCCCCTAGACAAGGACTTGATTTCACAGGACTCGAACAACAGAGGACCTGGTTCTCTCAAATATGGAGACGTCAATGACGGGAGTATCACGGTGTCACAAAGCAGATGCAGACCCTCCTCTTCGGCTGTAGGTCCCTCAACGACGGGAGTAGCATAAGGCCGTCTCTCAGGAGCCCACTCTTCCTGCCCGAGTTTCTCGCCCGATTTTTGACTACGTCTTTGAGTGCTGAGGGCGGATGCACCCTATGTAGCCTAAGACAGAGGTCCTACCCATTCGTTACATAGTGACAAGCCCATCCCCAGGGTCCCGATTGTGGGAGCCCACCGCGTAGCCTAAGACAGACCCTCCATAAAAAAATAATAAAATAGGGGGATATGTTGGGAGCCAGCCTTGAGTCACATCCTCTTGCAGAATTACTTACATTTTAAAACTCTAATTGAACCTTATCTTGGTAAAACAGAAAACTGCTAAAAGAGCAGTCTGTTCCATTCAACCCAGGAACTGAGATGAACCAAGATGCCAGGAACTGAGATAAACAGACATTTATGGCCTGGGACAATACCAGAGCCCCAGAGTCAGCACAGCTACCCCTCCCCATTTCCTCCCTGCTTTGCTTTCAAAACCCCTCTTTGTGCCTAATAAAGTGAGACCTTGACAAGCATTGCTTGGTCTCGTTCCTTTCTCTCCCATTATTTTCAGGTTCTAGCCCACCTCAACCCACGAATAACTAGGCCCCGCTGGTCGGGGCACACCATGACCAAGTAGGCTTCACCCCGGGGTGGCAAGGATGGTTCAACATAAATCTATCAATGTGAACTGAAAAAGAAAAACCACATGATCATCTCACTAGATGTTGAAAAAGCCTTTGACAAAATTCAACACCCTTTCATGATAAAGGTCTTGGAGAGATCATGGATAGCAGGGACATTCCTAAACATAATAAAAGCAATATACAGTAACCCGACAGCCAACATCAAACTGAATGGAGAGAAGCTTAAGGCAATTCCTCTAAAATCAGGAACAAGATAAGGCTGCCCTCTCCATATCTCTTCAATATTGTAATGCTAGCTAAAGCAATAAGACAACAAAAGGAGATCAAGGGATACAAATTGGAATGGAAGAAGTCAAACTTAACTTTTCACTACTTGCAGATGATATGATAGTTTACACAAGTGACCCAAAACACTCTACCAGGGAACTCCTAAAGCTAATAAACACCTTCAGCAAACTAGCAGGATACAAGATAAACTCAAAAAAAATCAGTAGCCCTACTATATACAGACGACAAAGGGGCTGAGAAAGAAATCAGAGAAACATCACCCTTTACAATAGCCACAAACAACATAAAGTATCTTCGGGTAATGCTTACCAAACAAGTGAAAGACCTATATAGCAAGAATTTTGTGTCTTTAAAGAAAGAAATTAAAGAAGATGCCAGAAAATGGAAAGATCTCCCATGCTCTTGGATAGGTAGGATAAACATAGTAAAAATGGCAATCTTGCCAAAAGCAATCTACAGATTCAATGCAATCCCCATTAAAATCCCAGCACAATTTTTCACTAAACTTGAAAGGATAATAATCCACTTTATATGGAAAAAAAGACCCAGGATAGCCAAAACAACGCTGTACAATAAAGGAACTTCAGGAGGCATCACCATCCCCAACTTTAAGCTCTACTACAGAGCTATAGTTCTGAAAACAGCCTGGTATTGGCATAAAAATAGACAGGTAGACCAATGGAATTGAATAGAAAATCCTGACATTAACCCACACACCTACGAACACCAGATTTTTGACAAAACAGCTAAAAATATACAATGGGAGGAGGAAAGCATCGTCAACAAATGGTGCTGGCACAACTGGATGATGGTGTGTAGAAGACTGCAGATAGACCCATGCCTATTGCTATGCACAAAACTCAAGCCAAATGGATCAAAGACCTCAACATAAATCCAGCCACACTGAACCTCTTAGAAGAGAAAGTGGGAGGTACCATTGAAGAAATTGGTACAGGAGACTACTTCCTGAACATAACTCCAGTAGCACAGACACTGAGATCAACAATTAATAAATGGGACCTCCTGAAATTGAAAAGCTTCTATAAGGCAAAGGACACAGTTGACAAGACCAAACGGCAGCCCACAGACTGGGGAAAGATTTTCTCCAATCCTACATCTGACAGAGGGCTGATCTCCAAAATATATAAAGAACTCAAGAAACTAGTCACCAAAACACCAAATAACCCTATTTAAAAATGGGGTACAGAACTGAAGAAAGAATTCTCAATAGAGGAAATCAAAAAGGCTGAAAGACACTTAAGAAAGTGCTCAACATCCTTAGCTATCAGGGAAATGCAAATCAAAACAACTTTGAGATACTATCTTACTCCTGCCAGAATGGCTAAAATTGAAACACCAATGGCAACTTATGCTGGAGAGGATGTGGAGAAAGGAGAACATTCCTCCACTGCTGGTGGGAGTGCAAACTTGTACAGCCATTTTGGAGATCAGTATGGCGGTTCCTCAGGAAAATGGGAATCAGTCTACCACAGGACCCGGCAATCCCCCTCTTAGGCATATACCCAAATGATCCACATCCATGCAACAAAGGCATATGTTGAACTATGTTTGTAGCAGCATTATTTGTAATAGCAAGAACCTGGAAGCAACCTAGATGCCCCTCAACTGAAGACTGGATAAAGATATGGCACATCTACACAATGGAGTACTACTCTGCAGGAAAAAACAATGGAATCTTGAAATTCGCAGGCAAATGGATGGAACTTGAAGAAACCATCCTGAATGTGGTAACCCAGTCACAAAAAGAGGAACATGGTATGTACTCACTCATATATGGATTTTAGACATTAGCAAAGGATCACCAGCCTATAATTCACACTGCCAGAGACACTAGGATACAAGAATTATAAGAGATTCATATAAGGTCCCTCTCAGAAGGGGAGAGAGACAAGATCTCCTGAGCATATTGGGAGGGGAGGTGGACAGTGAGTGGAGAGGGAGAAAGAGAAAGAGAGAGGAGAGGAAAGCACGTGGGACTAGGAAGATTGAGTAAGAGGAGAAATAGATGGGGGGGGGAAGAGGGAGAAAGAGAGAGAGCCATTATAGGTTTGAAGAGAAAAGTGACTCTAGAGAAATGTCCAGAGACCTACAAGACTGACCCCAACTAACAATTTGAGCAACAGTGGAAAGACTACCATAAATGCCCTTCCCTGATAATGAGATTGATGACTAACTTATCCACCATTAAAGATCCCTCACCTAGTAGCTGATGGAAACAGAAGCAGACACCTACAACTAAACATTGAACCAAACTGGAATCCAGATGCAGAGAGGGAGGACAAGACCAGGCTACAGAATCACATAGAGGCAGCTTACCTGAACAAGGAGGAGCTAATGGCCCCCAGACTGATAGCTGGGAATCCAGCACTGGACTGACTCAGACCCCCTGAACATGGGTCTCAGCTAGAAGGCCTTGGCAGTCTAAAGGACCTCTGACAGTGGAACCAGGATGTATCCCTGGTGCACAAAAGGACTTTGGGAGCACATTCCCCATGGAGGGATACTCCCTTAACCTAGAGGCAGGAGGGAGGGCTTGGTCCCTACTCTGGATGACTTGATGGATTTGGATGGCCCTTCCTGAAAGGCATCACCCTGCGTGTGGATGGGGGGTGTTGGGAGGGGAGAGGGGGTATGGGAGGGGGGAAGAGGGAGCTGGGATCGACGTGTAAAATAAAAATAAAAAATAAAAAAACAAGATATCTGAACTGGGAGTTCTACATAAGTGAAGTATTAGTTCTACAAAGATCTTCAGGAGTTCTCCGCATGTTCTATGACCACTAAATACTGTAGTATGGACACTAAAAAAGGTGTACTCTAAACTTCATGCAGTTGTAATATGAGCTCAACGGGGCATATGTACTCAACAGTACTCAACAGAAATGCACTACAGACTCTACATGGCACTGTGCACTTTATATAGGGCATTCTAAGCCCTATATAAAGAGATCTATACAGGTTTCCAATAAGCTCTATTGTCTTAGATAACTATTGTTGTGATAAAACACCATAACAAAAAACAAGTTGGAAATGAAAGGGTTTAATTTGTCTCATATTTCCACATCATAATCTATCACTGAAGGGAGTCAGGACAGCATATCAAACAGGGCAGGAACCTAGAGGCAGGAACGGATGCAGAGGACATGGAGGGGTTCTGCTTACTAGCTTGCTCCCCATGGCTGGCCCAACCTGGTTTCTTTCAGGTTTTTTGTTTTATTTTGCTTTGTTTCAAGACAGAGTTTTTCTTGTTCTTTTGTTTGTTTTGTTTGTTTTGTTTTGTTTTTCGAGACAGGGTTTCTTCTCTGTATTGTGTTTTGGAGGCTGTCCTGATACTCACTTTGTAGACCAGGCTGGCCTGGAACTCACAGAGATCCACCTGCCTCTACCTCCTGAATGCTGAATTAAAAGCGTGTGCCACCAATGGTGATGAGATGCCATAGGACTCAGTGGTTAAGAGCACTTCCTGCTCTTCTAGAGGATGTAAATTAAGTTCCCAGCATCCACATCCAGCAGCTTACAAACTTCTGTTGTTATTCCAGTGCCAAGGGACCTCACACCGTCTTCTGGCCTCCAAAGATACCCATACATATGTGGTATACACTCACACAGACACACACATGCTTCTTTTAGGGAAATGGAAATTACCTGGGACTATGAAGAACTTTAGATATTAACCATCAAATAAGAAAACATATAAGTCAATACAATACCTGTAATACTTTATGCTCCTTTTGAAGGTTTTTTATTCTATTTTGTTGCTGGTAAACCCTGTTTAGGGACTCATCTTCTAATTCACCAATTTTGGATTTCACGCTGTCCATAATCTGCTCCAGGTCATTGGCTCGATGTTCCTGGTGTGCTGCTCGGTTCTGTTCCAGTTGAAGTTCATTTCTAATTAAGAGACACAAATCCTTCCCTCACTGTTAAGATAAATCTGATTGTGCATGACATACAACAAAGTACTTTCCATATTCGTAACATTTTTTATTTTGTTTTAGTGCTGAGAATTAAAAATTAGCATAATTAGCACTGAGCTGCACCCGAGCCTCAACACTTCTATCTTATAAAAGGTGTGTAGTCATGCCCCCTGATACACCCAATCTCATCTACATTATAAGAGAAAGTAAATAGAATATGTACCATTACATATCAATGCTAAGTGCTACTGGAAGTTGTCTACTTAATTTTTTCCCATTTATTTATAAAAACAATTTTGTTTTACATTTAATAAAAATGAAATTTCAGGGAGCTGGAAAGATGGTTCAGCAGTTAAGAGCATTAGCTGTTCTTCTAGGGAACCCAGGTTCGGTTGCCAACATCCACATTGTGGTTCACAATCATTCATCAACTCTAGTTCCAGCAGATCTGATGCCCTCTTCTGAACTCTGGGTTCAGGCACCCACATGGTATACTTAAATACATTGCTGACAGAAAACACTTACACGTGTAAGAAGAAAAATAAATTTTAAAAAAGTACAATGAAATTTCAGGATCCTCCTTGGGGGAGTTGTGCTTAGAATACACGCAAACAATACCACTGCCTTACTTAAGCTGCTGGTTCGTCTCTATGAGCTCCCGTATCATGCTCTGCTGACGCGTTGTTTCTTCTATCAACATTTTCAAAGTCTGCCTCATTCTTTGTGATGATTGCTTGTCAAAAACGATGAGCTCTACATTGATATATGCCATGGTAAAAGCAAAGAAAAAGGTAAAGCCATTTTAAGATAAACACTTTTTAAAGAAAAATAAGCTTTGTTCCTAACAGAGCAAGAACAGCATCTAGTTACCTTTGAGGTCAGTTCTTTTGACTAGACACAAAGGTTTGAAGCCATGTGTCATCAACAGCCCATTTATGCTTTCCCATTCTGCTTCTTCCTGCTACAATCACAGCAGAGAAAAAAGGAACAACTTTAAGATGTGAAGAAAAACCTTTTATAACATCCTATGCTTTCAGAACAGAACCTTCCCTCCAAAGGTGTCTGATTTTTAGATGGATGTATTTGTTCATCTATATGTGGGTATGAGCTTGTAAAGTTCTGGTGCAGCAGACACAAGAAGAGGGTGTCAGCCCCTGGGGTTTGAGGCGGTTGTGAGTCACATGACATAGATGCTGTGAACTGAACTAGGGTCCCATGGAAGACCAGCAAGTGCTCAAACAGTCTTATAATTTTTTTAGACAGGGTTTCACTATGTAGCCCTGGCTGGACTGGAACTAGCAATGTAAACCAGACTAGCCTTGAATTTAAGAGGTATGATTGCCTCTGTTTCCCAAGTGCTGGAATGAAAGATGTTTGGCATGCCTAGTTTTAATATTAAATTTTATGTATCAAATTGTAACTTAAAAAGATTTAGACTTTACTGTACTAAAATCAACAACAGAAGTATGCAAATGAATAAATTGTATTACACAAAATATCCACATGTAGGCCTTAATGGGCAAATTTAAACAAAAACAACAACAAAACTTGTGATTTCAGTAAAACAGGTAAGTCTACTTGAATAAGGTCAGGCCATACTCAAAGGACACAAATGAAAACTAAAACTAGCCACTCTGAAATAAGTATTGCTTTAACAATGATGAAAAAAGAAAATAAAGGGTCATGTGAGGGTTGGACTTGGGAAATGGCAGCTTCAGGGATATGGTAGCTTCCAAACAGGCAGGGCTCTAGGCAGGTGGTTCAGAGGCGGCTCTTATGATCTTCTTCAGAAAGGCTAAACAAATAGAAAGAAGTTCTATATCCAAAAATCAGACTGAAAGATTGACCTGTCCAGGTTTCTCTTTAATGTGAACCCATTTGAGATTTTCCAGCTATTCCTGAAGTGACAGAAAAAGAAATAAAAGAGAGGTTTCAGCAGCTGTACAACACTGGTACATCCTGAAAAAAAAATCAAGATGCTGCTGTTGGTGCACAAAAGGCTTTTGAAGCTGTGGACAAAGCTTACAAGTGGGCTACTGCATCAGGAAAGGAAGAGGCCCTGGATGTGATTCAGGCAGAAGAGAGCACATGGTTCAGAGGCAGGGTGTAAGGAAGGAAAGCCTACAGATGTAGAGGATGATCCTGAACTATTCAAAAAAGCACTATGCAAACAAACAATGAAACCATTTGCTAAGCTGGACATGAAAAGAAAAGAGATGCCAAAAACGTGCACAAAGCAGAGACTGAAGCTCAAGAAAAAGACAAATGAGAAAGGTAGAGATGGTCAAATAGACAGCTGGTGAAATCTGCAAGCAAACAGCAAAGGGAAGAAAGCAAAGAATCAGACCTTCTTGGAGCCACTGAAAGTAAAAAAGGAGAAGAGTGGCCAGCCGGGTCACAACCACAGAACTGTCCCTAGATGTCCCCTTCCTGCTTCAGGGAACTTATTCTTTCCCCCTATTTCTACCAAAATAGAATAGCATTGGCTTTTTAGTCCATTTTGTTTTCACTACAATTTAATCTCAGAGTATCCTCTGGTGAATTGACAGAAGGGGCTCAACTGAGCCCTGCCCCCCAGTCCCTGCCCATTGAACAAGCACAACTGCAAGGAGCCACCGTTCTCCCTTAGCCTGCGCCTTAATGTTCTGTACTTCACTGAACTGTGATAGTTACAAATTTCATGGATAGTTCCTGGAATTGTGAATTCAGACAAGCCTGGGCCACCTCAGGAAGTTCCTTTGCTTGCTTTGAAGGTGTCATCCTCAAAGTCCCAGAGCAGGTAAAGAAGGCATGTGTGATCATAGCATGCAGTTGTTCAATGCCCACAAGCCCTGACCTAAAATATTTCAGGCTTACCTGTTTTTCAATCAGGAGTCTGTTTGATAACGGACTGGAGTCCCGAGCTTGAGGGGCTGTTGGAGGCATCGTTTCTTTTGTAGAATCCAAAGTAGAGGTAGGCAATAAAAAAATTTGAGTTCCCTGAGTTCAAAAAGAAAAAGTGCAATAGAAGTTTAAGAGGTGTGGAGATGTAGCTAAGCTGGTAGAGTCACTGTCAATCCACATATAGTGCTGAGTTCATCCTCCAAATCTACATAAAACTAGTATGGTACATGCTTATAACCCAAGGACTTGGGAGGAGGAGGCAGGAGGAGCAGAACTTCAAAATCATTCTTAAATACCAAAGTTAAAGGAATTCTATATGGGGCCATACTCTCTTAGACAAACCCACACCTATGTTATTAGGTATATCATACTTAATCCTGAGTGCCTTTTTCCTTCATAATCCTCATGCTTACGCTCTTTGTTTACTGGGCATGGTGCCATACTTTTAATCCCTACCCCCCAGAGGCAGAAGCAGGTGGATCTCTCTGAGTTCAAGGCCTTCCTTGTCCACATAGTGAGTTCTAGGGCAACTAGGGCTATATAGAGACCTGTCATAAAAACAAACTATCTAATTTAATATAATCCACAGCCAGGTGATGGTATTCATCTTTAGTCCCATCACTTGGGAGGCAGAGGCAGATAGCTGAGTATGAGGTCAGCCTGGTCTACAAAGTGGTTACAGGACAACCAGGGCTATTCAGAGAAAACTTGTCTCAGAGAGAAATAGAGAGAAGACAGGAGAGAAAGAAAGAAGGAAAGAAAGAAAAAGAATGGAAAGATCTATTTTTACAGGCCAAATTAGACTATTCTTACATCAACATTTTTACTTTGTATATAGCATGCTTGTACATGATGTATTTAGACAAATACTATCTTATACTGTTCTCTGGGACATAGCATTCTAGCTTTTCATATAAAGAATGAGAGAAATAATACATGAATATATATGGTATATGAATATATGAATGATAGGGTTTCTGTATGTTGTCCTGGCTGCCTGAAATTTGCTATGTAGACCAGGCTGACTTTGAACTCAGAGATCCACCTGCTTCTTTCTTCCTAGTGCTGGAATTACAGGTGTGTACTACCATGCCCAGCCCAAAATATTTTGAAAAGATTATGAGACTCCTGAACTGTTAACTACTCACTGGGCTACAAGGGAAGACTAGGATCACTTTATTAGGCAGTCTATATTTCTAAGTAGATCAGAAAACAGGAAGAAGAGGTTCTGTTTGACCAACAAAAAAAGTTCAGTCTACTTTATCATCATTCTTGCAGTGTAAGACTACATTTTGGGGGGGAAAAAAAGAATTCCTTGATTTCTATGATAAAACTTTCTGGTGGTTAAAGAAAAAAATCATATTCATTAACATCATAGAATCTGGAAATTGCTTAACTTAAAGTGCCTAACTATCCCTAGCTAGCAGGAAGTCTGGAGAACAGACCAAGTCAGGAAAGATCCCTGAGAAGGCACAGTAATCATAAGCAGCAGCAAACCAACCATACATGCCAAGGAGAAAGAAGGTAGTGATGTTGTCTGCTAGTATTCCAGGTTCCCAGATGGTACTCAAACCAGGCATTATAGATCTGCTGAAAAACTTGTCCTTGAAAAGAAGTGGGCTAGAAATGTAGCTAGCTTTGCCTTGACTTCAATTCAAAACTCGAGTCTTAGAAACCTGGCTAGGGGTAGTGGGAAAATAAAGGGCAGACACACAGGTATGCATATAATGAAGCTAGGATTTGATGGGGTTCCCTAGTATTACCACAATCTGGAACCTCACAGCATTTATTAGGTACAACACAGGGGAAGGGTTAACTGTAGGTAAGCAGCTTCAGCCTGTAAGAATATAGGAGGACACCCCAGTTGCTAGTTATTGTATACTAATTAATCTCTCATAGCCAGGCATTAAAACTTCTAACACCTGAGGAAAGCCATCCTCTTTAGCCTGGTTCACATGGCTGACAGAAGTACCTATTTTCCATGGACCATTTGGTCTACAAGTCCTCAACAGGCTTTGCTCATGTCAAAATACACATTCACTCAGGGCTTCACTCTCTTAGGGCCTCCTCCACTGCCTAGCACAAAGCCCTGGGTTTTGTCCCCAGCCCTGGTTAAGTGGGATGGAGCATAAAGCACTTAGGAGGAGCAGGCCAGAGAAACAAGAGGTGGAGCAATCAACCAGTTGACAGGAAGTAAACAAAGGATGATTAAGAAAAACCAAAAACACAAAACCAACAACAGCGTAAGAGTCAGGAGGACAGATGTAAATGGAAGTTTCTATACCACCAGGTCCTGCAGCCCTTTAGTGCCAAATAAACACAGTAGCTTATATTAATTATAAACTGTTTGGTTGATGGCTCAGGCATCTTACAGGCTAGCTCACTCTTACTTATTAGCCCATTTCTATTAATCGATTTCCACAGGGCCTACCAGAGAATTCTCAATGTCCTATCTTCCCGGTAGTTGCACGGTGTCTCCCCTTAATTCCTGTCTATGTTCCTTTCCTCAGAATTCTCCTAGTCTTGTGACCCTGCCTATACCTCCTGCCCGGCTACATCCTGCCTGTCCATTGGCTGAAACAGCTTTATTCATCAACCAATAGGAGAAACATATATTCACAGCATACAGAAAGACATTTCCCATCAGACAGACACACGGGAATAGAAGGGAGGGACACTGAGTTAGGAGAGGTTGGCATGAGACAGCACAGAAGGAGGCTTTGGGGATGTCAGCTGAGGAGGAGGTTAGCTGGTACTTTCTCTACCTCTCTGAGATAGCAAGCTTTTACCCCAGCGTCTGGCTCCTGGGTCTTTATTTAAAAAAAAAAAAAAAACCAACAACAACAACAAAAATGAACAATTGAGATTTTGTTAAAAAAACATTTGGTGACCAACATAGGTCATGATCACACAGACCAGAGAAATCATGCCAGCTGCAAACAAACTGATGCATACATGCTATGCAGCTCCCTTTCTCTGCCTCTATGATGCAGTATTCTATCCATGGAGTGATGCCACCCAGCTGGGGTGGGCTTCCTACCACAATTAACATAATTAAGATAATTTCCAACAGGCATGCCCAGAAGCCAGTCTCCCAGGTGATTCTAGATTCTGCCAAGTTAACAGCACTAACCATCAAAATTGGTAAAAATTACAGTCCATATCTAAATAAGCCTGGCCAGCTACATAAACTAGCCATTTTTCACTATTTCCAGGTTAGTCAGGAGACTTCTTGCCTATGAGCTGACATCACCCCCAAGCTCCATGTTGCAATATTAAGCTCAATAAAGTCTTCTCTCAAATGATCTCTTGCCTACTTGTAGTCTTTAGTCACAGGAAGACCGATTAAACTGGTTGCACAAAGATGAGGCAAAATCCGAAAGCCTCTCGCTCTGGCAGAGATAGCTGAAAAGTTTCTGAACGCCACCAAGAGCTAAGACAACAGGAGTCAGTGGAAAATTCCACTGAGCCACGGTAAGCCAAGGATGTGGTACCAGAACCATCACACAAGAAAGCAGCTGAAGAGTTCCAGAGAACAACCAGGAGCAGAAAGAGCCAGATGCTGAAACCACAAGAAACAGTGGTGTGTTATAAAAGCAGGGTGTCACTATGAAGGACTGGAGGCAGGGGCTGAGGCTATGAGGACTCGGTACGAGAAGTGTTCAAGCGCAGGTTAAAGAGCCATAGCTCAAGACTGCAACTGTAGCTGCTCCATGTTGGCATTCGAAGGCTTTGAACGTGTGGAGCCCTAAACCTCTAGTCCTCAAGACTTAAGACTCCAGGGCTCAAACCCAAGGCTATCAACACTAAAGAACTGCCTCTTCCCTATCCAAGATTTCTATTTAAGCTCCCAGCCAGCCACTTGAGGCAGGTTTCCCAAACCATAACAGCAAAAAACATTTAATGCAAAGCTAACCAAAAGAAAGCTAGCATATAGCCAGACTGCCTGGAGATTCTGCCACACATTCAGAGGATATTAATCCCTATGATTTCTTCATAGAAGAGGAGGAGGAGGAAAAGTACTTAGTTCACAGAAGTACTGCGAAGAGTAGAAGACTAAATACAGGAAGAGCACTGAGTAGTACTAGTCCATCACAGCACAACAGTCTATTGAACTTTACAGACTTTTGTTTTCTTATTGAGGTTTACTTACTGAGAATTATCAGGTAATCACAAGGGGAAAAAACATGTAAACTTATCATCTAGCACAAAATCCAATAAATTTTGTTTGCTATCTCCCTACATTGGAAAAAAAATAGTCATCCATTATATCAGACATACCTCAGTCATAGTGATTCCTCTTGCAGTTTACACCTGGTCATCCAAGCTGATCTCAATAAAATGATCACCCAATGAATCTCATGTCCAAAATTGGATCTTGATCTAGGTTTCAAAAAGATATAAGCCTAAGCCTTAGAATGTTCAGCTTCTCACTAAAAATGATCTTGAGTTATTAACAAGGCAGAAATCCATGGTGCAGATAACCTTGGAACCAAAGCCTAAAAACCTGCAGCAACAAGATGGTCCAAAGCTCTTCATCAAAGGCCTCCCCTTTTCTTTTTCTTTTATCATTCTTATCTCTTACCATTGCTTTATTGAAAATGTGCTGGATATCCAAATCTACCATTCTGATCCATGGCTTCATGGGTAGTTATTCTTATTTGCAAATGTATTGAGAACACTCAAGTAAAAGCAGGAAAGCCCAGTATTCGCCTGCACCTGTGATCAATCTTTCCCCAAGTATTGACTTTGTAACTGTTCTTTAAAAAGTCAAATTAAAGTCTGCAAGATTTCTCAAGAGCATATTTCAAATTATTACAACCAATTAACCAAAGCCTTGAAAGTAATTCCTATTAATGCAAATGTGCCAATAATTTGCAGTAGTCTTCTCTCCATCTCAGGCTACAACAGGACACAGGTTTGGAACCCTGAAATTTCAGGGAAGAAAAACTCCTCCTAGGACCAAGGCAGAAGCTATAGCATTACAGATTGTCACTAACACCTAAGACTGCTGGAGAAGGGGTAGAGAATACAAGGTGTTTAATATGTAGTAAACACAGCCAACTGTAAAAAAAAAAAAAAAAAAAAAAA